ACCACGCAAACAAATATATAAGCTAAGACACTTGCTGTATGAGGAGTTTGTTCTCCTCATGTGCGTACCTAACTCCTCTCAAAGTCAATAGTAGCTATATATACACATATTCATTGAATTCAGCAAGTGATAGGTAGATAAATCATGCAAGAGATTAGTTGAACTAATAAGGGTCTAACTTGCAATAAAGTTCATTTACTAAAAAAATTGAAATTAGATTTTATAATAGAACTAATCCTTATGAAACAATATTTTAACAACAAAAATCCAGTTAGTCTTCTGTCCATCTGACACAATGTTTACCCTGCAGTTCAAGTTTGCTTGTACTGTACTAATTTTCATTATGCCACAGATCTTAGCTATTGGGAACATTGAACTACTCTTGAGGGCAAAATAAATAATTTGCCAGTCAGTCCCATGCAGCTTTGATCCCTAATTAAAGAACACCACTATGTTTTTTAAAAAGTTGATTATTAAATGCTGGTTACACTCTTAGTGCTGAAATGAGGTGCAATTGTTTAAACTGAATTAATAAGCAAATTTAATGAAAATCCCATTGCTAGGCAGCTTGGCATATGAAAGCTGATACTACCTAAGGGCTCTTTGGTGGCTTATGTAAAGTAAGTCAAATTGACAGATATTCACAATTTGAAATTATCATTACAGTTGGATCCAGTGGGTAATTTCTTTGGAAGTGTTAGCAGAAAGGCCTGTCATGGAACAGGCATAGACACTGCATTACCCTCCCACCCCCAAACTGCTCCAAGGTCAGGGCAATGCACTCTTGATAGCAATGTGAGCAAGGGAGGGAAAATGCACTTTTACCGTCTGTTCTGTATGGGGCCCAATCCTACACTCTGAATTCAATGATGAGCTTCTGTTAATTTCAGTGAGAGCATCAAATCCCCTGAGTCATTAATTTTGCATCAGTCAGGAGCACTACATTCTAAAACAAGAACCGGCAAAAAATTAAAAAGAGGAAGAAAGAGAAAATTTAGTCCAATACATGGCATTTTCTTGAAGACAATAAGCTCCTGTTTTTTCCTTACTAGATGAGACTTAATAAACATAAAGTTATATCTTTTCTTGGATATTGTCTGTCTGACATTAAAGTCATGGTTAAGAGTAGAATAACATGGAGTCTGGTAGGACTGGCCAATTTATCAAATATGATATTTATCATTAATGTAATCTGGCTAAGAGTACATGTGAAGGAGACCTGAGACCATCAAGAAATACTTTAGTTTTAGCAAAATGTTGACCATGCTTTTTCAGTATTCCTTTTTTTCTGATCCAGCATTGTCCTCCACTAACATTGCAAGACTGGCCATTCATTAAGGGGTTTTAACTTGGCAGCTGAAGACTATCCATGCTCACAACAGAAGACATGGATACTTCTGGTGAGAAATTTGCTCTTTGTAGAAATTATACAACTTCAACTGTTTCTCTGTGGTATTCAAATGGCTTTAAAATATGGCCATCTTATGTTGACAGCAGTGTTGAAATGTATTAGTGAAATATAAAGGACAGCATGTGATGAAAGCATTCCTTTCACATTTAGCTAAGCAATAAATATGTACTGCCCACTTCAAAAATAAATGCATAGCTCTTATATTTGAAACATAATTGAAGTTGTACCTTTAATCATGAGCAAAAATGGCTGCATATAATGTGAAACCTAATGTATGATTCTAATCAAATGTTACAGCTTTAGTTTATTATGTTCGGATGAGTCAAAATCTTCTAAGATCCATGTTTTGCAATAATTTCAATTCCCTCTGTCAGTAAAAGAGACTGAATAATGCATGTAATACAAAAGAAATGAATAGGATTTAAATAAGACACCAGTGGCACCAATGGAGGGGAAGGGTAAACCCAAACTGGTGGAAATCAGGCCAATTTTATTTGAACTACAATAAATCTTTCTACTAAAATGATCTGTTTCTCAAGACTGCATGATTTATACGAAAACAATGCGATGGTTCTGGGCCTGTTAAAAGCCAAAGCAGACAATTACAATGTATATAAAATTGAACACAGAGAAAGATTTCAATTCAAAACGTTTTTCTGGATAAACATCACAGTACATAAGACGCAGCCACTGTTTTATTCTATTGGAAAGACAAAAAATATTCACATGATTTGCCATGATTCAACTAACATACAAGCCATAAACCTTTTAAGCTGATCTGTTTATTGTCCTTAATACACAGAATGGGCCAAACACTGTAGTTTTACCACTAACCACTGCAGTGAAATAGAAATGGAAATAAAGCTAACTGGTCACGTCTTACATCTTTACACTTGACCTCACATGAATATTCATTTCAGTCGAAGTAGCATTAAGGCTATTGTACTGTATCATTTTGAGGCATGTATGCTCTAATTTAATTCCATACAATGATAAGAGCTATTTCCACATTTGTGTAGTTCAGAGGTATTAAATATATATACACACTTTATTCAGATTTTTATCTTTAATTAGGTTAGAAAATCTCACATATATGTGCTTTCAAAGCCTCTGTCAACCCAACAAATTCAATCACATGGCTTACTGTGTCCCACAGCTATCAGACAATTGATTTTTGCAGGATTCTGCCCATATTTAGCTTAAGGGACATGTGATATGTTCATTCATTCATCAGTCATTTTGCCTGTGCTTTATTGGGAGGGGCACTTTAAAAAATATATTCTCAGTATTCAAATATTGTAGACAAAAATAAATACAAGAACACAATTGGATTTATCAGCCTAGAGAACTGTAAACTATAACATGTAAATGCAATGAGTAATGTTTGGATAAAAATACGTATTGATTTAAGTGGGAGATTTGCCTCAATAAATCCTGCAGAGTTGGGGCTACCAAATGGATGGAGACATATGAATAATTACATATACATACACTTTGGGTTTTTTTTTTCATTTCTGTATACTGTCCATGTTTATGAATCACTAAATTGCTTAGAACTGTGAGATTAGCTTTGCTATACATTTTGTTGTTATTTTGATCAGGGTATGAGTTACTTTCTATAAGTGATGGCAATTCAGCAAATATAAAGGAACAGTTTTTTGTCAGTTAAAATAATGCAAACTAAAGATAAGGGGAAGATGGTGGAAAGAGAGTTAAAGGAGCTACTGTGAACAGTTTAAATGCAAGAAAGTTACAGCATATGCTTTTTGTACCTAAAATGTTGTTCTCTTATATGCAGAATTAGTTCAGTTATGGTTAACTATTTTAAATGTATGCAAATCAGAGTTATTATTAAACTTGTATTGGTCTAACTAATACTGTGTGCAATAGTTTGAGGCTCAAAGTTTAATAACAGCCATTAACATCATTTGGAAGGACTGAAGAGAAGTCAGAGTCATAGACAATTGGTTTTAGTTATAATTATTAAATATAAGGTACAAATGTTTAGAAAAAACTAAGCCAAAACCAAACAAAAAACAAAAAACAAATAAAATATTTCAATATACATTGTATCAATTCTAAATAATGAAATAAATGAGCAATGCCTGTAAAAGGAAGATTATATGCAATGCAATACTCTCGCAGAAACACACCTGTGTGTATCTAATATCATTCTATATACTTTTAAAAGCACTTTTTAAAAACTCCTTCCTCTTTTCCTTAATTTGGAATTGATTTTACTATTAAACACAACAGCTAATACCTTGCTTAGTACAGAATTGACACTCAGCAGAATAAATCGTTTCTGTATATGCACTGATGCCATTTTGGCAGCATAGAAGCTTTTCCTGTTAAATGAAGTGACAGTCATTTGAAACTTGGAGTAGAAAAGAATTATATAAATACATTTAACAGACATCCCATACGTTCTAAGAAGTGAAATGTGCTGAACCTCAATACACATTATTATTAAAAGTATGAAAGAGATGGATGTGAGAACCCACACAACTAAAGAAAGATTCTATGTATTCTAAAGGCACGCTGAACAGGAAAACCTCCAATCTGCTTCTATTTTAAATCCTCTGTAAGTAATGTTGCTCAGTGCTCTTAGTTCCTGGGGCAATTCATTCTTGGGAAAGCACTAAGAAAAAACATGGAATTTGAATCCTGAACACATATACAGAAGCAGCAGCAATTTTAGTGGTATATAGCTCTGTACCACTAAATCATTTCACCCAACAATGAACAATTAATACTCTTATGAAGTCTGATTTAGATGAACAGAAACACAAATGCTTCCCGGCTCTCAGACATTAAGCAGCATTAAGCAGGCATTTTACCCAATGTTGAAGGAATCAGGAGTGCTGTAAATGTAGAAGTTCAGCTATACTCTATTTTTTAAAATTATCCCATTTGTCCAGAGCACCCCTTTTTAATGAGAAAGTGTATGTAGACTGGGGGAGGGGAGTAATAGTTGCAGTTGGGGTGGCTTGTGAAATCAAGTAGATCAGATGCTAAACTGATCTGGCACCAATGTGTGGCTGCATGGAGACATACCCACAGGATGTATGCATTAGGAGATGATAAGAGACATTTACAACCCAGAATATAAGAGCAGGGCAGGCTCAAGTGACATCACTAGATGAACTGCAGCGTCAACCTCCTCAAATATATTATCCCGCACACCATTGCTTCACTGTCCCCTCTTAGCCATTAGAAGAGCACTTGTGATCACAAATATTATGGTGTCTTTTCAAAAGCAGGCAAGACACGCCATGCCCAACAGCATTCAGACCTTCATAATTCACAATTTTTCTTTACAATTGCAAAATCTATCTCCATAGAAACCAGAAAGCAAGAAACTACAGTGATGACACTAAAGTAAATGTCACATTCAGTTACTCAGCACAAAGCAGGAGCCTGAATGTTGGTAAGGTTAGAAACTAAACAGGATTCTGCTCCTATAGCTTTTTCTTACAGAGCAGCTGACTTGAAATAGATTGTTTTATACAAGGTAATTGTGCGTCCTCGTCTTAATTTCACTGTAATTTACTCATAACTCGGCCAGATCAATGGCACATTTACTTACAGGCATTTGTTACAGCGAAGCTGTTAGCTGTTTCAATGTTGTCTACATGAGGAACCAAATTAAAAGGTGCTTCAGAGGCATTGGGGCTGGTGTTATGAAGAAAAATTGCTAATCGAAAAGCAGTATATTCCTGATCTGTGTTTCTGATGAAGAGACCACCTATAAAAACAGCAAAGAAAGCAAGAGTCAATTATTCACAAGCCAGTCACTATACTATTAAACCAGGCAAGTACCTCTCCTAGTGGCACTGAATAATACTGGTCCTGTCATGTCTGTGGATACATTAACTAATCATATTCATAATCACCACCACCATTACCTTAAAGCATTGTCCTAAAGCAACATGAACCTCCCAACTGCATGCAAGCTCTGCTCCTGCTTTCTTGGTTCCCAGTCTTTCATATTTAAATACTCAGATCTGTCATGATTGCAGTGACCTTTGGAACTCTTTAGCCTCCATCTCTGGGCTACTGAAGGCATTGCTACATCAGCCACGGAGCCTCCTTCTGTGCCTTAAGTGGCGAGCAGCTTAAGGAGGGGGAAGCCTCTTCCATTAGTAACAAGGAGGCTCCATACCGAACAGGCAGGTAATGAACTTTGCTCCTCTGCAGCCCATGTGCGGGCTGGGAGCAGCTCAGGCTTATTAGTAGCATCTTTCGGCGTGCACGAGAAATGATGCAGTGATGGAGCTGAGCTGGAAGGAATTCAAATAACTGCGCCCCGCCAGAAAAGGGAAGGGGAGAGTCGGGGCAGGGGGAGGACGACACAGGAGCTGGGGACGGGGGCACAAAACCAGAAACTTTCAAACTAGGGAAAGGAAAAGCCAGCAGCATCTCCCCCTCCCGCTTCGCTCCCCACGGCAAATGAGCTGCTGCACCGGCCAGTGCAGGAAAACACCGGCTTTCAAACAACTCGCCATCCCCGCAGGATGCAGAAGAAACAAGGGGTCGCAATTAAAGAGCGGGGAGGGGGGCATCTTCCCAACTTATTCTAATACTGCACAACCCCCTTCCCAAAGATCACAAGAGTTGAAATGAATTTTCCCATAGAAAACCCACCCTGCTCCAGACCCCTTCATCCCGTGTACACACACATACACACTCTCTCTCTAACACACACACAGACACTTTCGGAGAGGGGAATTAAGGTGGGGATAGTGGGAGCAGTCTCGCAGCTTCATTCAGCCCCTGGCGTGTAACTCACTTTGGAAAGGCTTGTAACACTTGCCACATGCACCCAGCCCAATGCAGCGCTTACCTATTTGCACACTGCTAGGAAAAGCTCCCATTGCTAGTCCCCAAAAGCCAGAAAACAACAAGACAAGCTGTCTGCAAATAATCCTCATCTTCTCTTTTGCCTCTCTGTCTCTCCTTCTCTCTCTCTCGCTAGGTGCTGCTCAGAGAGGCATTGAGGACGAGGTGGCTACAAACAAAATTAAGAATCAAAATAAATGAAATGGGGAGGGGGGAAAATAAGAGGGTTTTTTCCCCTCCTCCTTCCTTTTTTCTTTGATTTTTTTTTTCAAAATTGTTTTTCAGCAATCCATCCTGCCGAGCCGGATTTTTCCCGCAGTCTCCATAGCCCTGGGAGAGGTTTCTGTCCGGCTGCAAATGTTGCACATGCAAAAGATGGTGGAGAGTTTGGTGGTGGTGCGCGCGTCTAGCGGCTGCACTGAGAGATGAGACATGCGCTATCTCCCCCTCCCTACTCCCCCTCCCATAAACACAGCAGAGAGAGAGAGAGAGAGGCGCATGCACATACACACGGCTTCCTCGGTCTCTCTCCGGTGCACCCCACTCTCTGAGCGCCTTTGGAGCCACAGATAAATACAGCTACCACAGGAGAGGGGGCTCCAGAGGGCAGCTGGGGACAGGAGGGAAATGAGGCTCCTCTTTCCCGCCAGCCTGCACACAACCCGGCTAAAGCAGCAGCAATGAAGTTTGTCCCCAAGAGGACAGAGCCCTCCCTTTGCAGCCAAGTCGGGCTCTCAGACACAGCCCCAGCAGCAAACGTGGGACTTTAGATACTGCAGCAAAAGAAAAAAAATTCCAGTGTGCAAATCCTGCTGGAGAGGGAAGTAAAGGGAAAGGGGGATAAAAGGAGAGGAGGGCAGAGGGGAAGAGAAGGCTTAGGGTATTCAAGGTCACTGATGATTGATTGCCATCAGTAGCCCATTCCTACACTCTCCTGGCCTGTGGGCTAAAGACAGCTCAGGGGACAGGATCAGCAACTTACTTGGAGGCTGCAGAGAGAAGGAGCAGGATGTTGATCTCACTAATAATAACTGGTATTTCATAATGAAATGCAAGATCATAGAAAGATAAGAGACCTTGAGAGGTCATCTAGTCCAATCCTCTGTGTTCAGACAGAACCAAGTTAACCTAGATCATCCCTGGCAGGTGTTTGTCCAACCCTTTCTTAAAAACCTGAAACAGTAGGGATTCCACAACCTCCCATGGAAGCCTGTTCTTGACCTTAGTTACGCTTATGCTGACAATGTTTTTTCTAATATCTAATCTAAATCTTCCCCGCTGAACAATAATCCCGTTTCTTCTTGCCTAGGTTCAGTGGACCTGGAGAGCTATTGATCACCAGAACATCTGCTAACACATTTGAATACACTTATCAGATCACCCCTCAATCTTTTTTTCTTAAGATTAAACATTTCGGGGGAGAGGGGTTAACCTTTCTTTCTGAAGTCAGGTTTTCTAAATCTCTCATCATGTTTGTTGCTTTCCTTTGGACTCTTTCCTGTTTGTTTACATCTGTCCTAAAGTGTGTTACCTTGAATTGGACACAGTAATCTGATTGATGCCTCCCATGAGCCAGATAAACGGGGACAATTGCCTCACATGTCTTCCATATGACAATTGTGTTAATACAACTCAGAATAACTAACTTTTTTTGCAGCTGTACCACATCATTGACTCATATTCATTTTGTGATCCACTATAACCCCAGGTTCCCTTTCAGCAGCGGTACCACTTTGTCAGTCTATAATTGTGCATTTGGTTTTTACTTCCCAAGGGAAGTATTTTGCACTTGTCTATTGAATTTTCTTCTTGCTGAATCCAGATCAACTCTCCAGTTTGTCAAAGCCATTTTGAATTCTAATCTGTCCTCCAAAGTGCTTGCAACCCCTCCCAGCTTGATGTCATTTGTAAATTTTGCTAATATAAATTTTATATTCTTTACTCTATTATCAAAGTAATTAATTAAAAGATTTAATATTACCTGACCAAGAACTGACCCCTATTGATCCCCATTAGAATTACCCTCCCAGGCTGACAGCAAGCCATTGGTAACTATTCTTTGAATACAGTCTTTCAACCACTTGTGCTCCCTCCGCATAGTAAATTCATCTAGACCACATTTCCCCAGTTTGTTTATGAGAATAGCATGCGGGACTGCATCAAAAACTTTATTAAAAATCAAGAACGTTCACAGCTACTGCTTCCCCATATCCACTAGGTGCAAAACCTTTTCAAATGAGGAAATCAGGTTAGCCTGGCAGGATTTGTATTGGCTATTTCTTATAATGCACATGCTTACAAACTGATTACTAAATAATTTGTTCAGGTATCATTCCAGATATCCAAGTTAGGTTGATAGGTATATAATTCCCTGGGTCCTCTTTGTTCCTCTTTTGAGCTGGAACATGGATATTGCTGGACCAGAGAGTCCCAGCTGCAGAAATTGCAAGTGGCTGGGAGCGCCCGCATGGCCAGTGGCCTGTGGACAGGAATCCTGACCAGAAGCCCGCAGGGCCAGCAGCCAGCAGCAGAGTTGATGGCTGGCGGCAGAGGCTGGTGGCTGGTAGCAGAGCCTTGTCAGCCAGAGCGGGGCCAGCAGCATTAGTGAGGCTGGTGGTGGGGAGCCCCACAAGCTAGCGCAGGGTCATCTGCGAGGGGCAACACATTAGTCCAGAAAGCTCCCTGGTTTGGGACCGCTTGGGTCCAGAGAGTGCCAAACTGTGGGGAACCAACCTGTACCATGTTTACCCTTCTTCAGGCTTCTGGAAGCTCACCCATCCTCCAGGAGTTCACAAAGATAAGTGCTAAGGGTCCGAGATTACTTTAGCTAATTTCTTAAATCCCTGAGGATTAATTTTAACAGGCCCTGGTGACATGAATACATTGTGCCACTGTTAATGTTGTTAGTGAAAACTAAAGCAAAAGAGCCATTAAATATGTTATCGTTATTGATGTCATCAATTATTACTTCTCCTTTCCTGCTATGTAGATTAGCTACATTTTTCTTCATATTTCTTTTACTGCTAATATATTTAAATAACATTTTATTATTGCCTCATGTCTCTTGCTAGGTGAAACTCACTTGGTGCCTTAGCCTTTTTTATTTTGTTCCTGCATGCTTGCGCTATTCTTTTGTACCCCTCCTTAGCAATTTTTCCATATTTCCACTTTTTGAAAGATTCCTTTTTGATTTTCAGGTCATTACAGAGCTCCTGATGGAGCCATGTTGGCCTCTTACTATTCTTGCTATCTTTCCTTTGCATTGGGATAGTTTGCAATTGTGTCTTTAATATTGTCTCATTGAGAAACTGCCAGCTCTCCTGAACTCCTTTTCCTGTTAAATTTTCTTCCCAGGGGATCTTCTACTATTTTTCTGAGTTTGTTAAATCCTGCTTTTTTGAAGTCCACTGTCCTTATTCTTTTTATTACCAAGAGTTTTGCTGAACCCAAAGCTCTTAGTAATGTTATTCTTTGTGAGATGGTGGCAGAAAATAAATCTATGGGAACACAACTATTCAGCTGATTGATAGATTAAACAAAGCAGGAAACATAAGTGCTTTCGTTCAACACTTCTGCTTTATTTTGTCTTCATCACTTAAACACATCCATGACTGGTTAGTAGAGAGCCCCAAATTATCCCCCGATTCATATTTATTCAGGATCTTGAGGAAGCCTTGAATGGATAACTGTAGATATCCAGTGGTCAGCCTTCCATCTGCCAGGGAACATGATAAGTGTCCAAGTGTTCGCTGAGCTCAGATTTCCCCCCTCTTTTTATGCCTAATTTGTTAGTATTACATAGCTTGTTCATTCAAAACAGAAACAGAAACAGAAAAAAACCCTCTGCTCAGCAGGAGATAAGTTCAGTGTGGGGTTGTCTTTCCAGCCTGTAGCGTAGAGTTTTTTTATCAGTTAACCAGCTGTATTTCACACAGCAATAGTTAACTATTGCCAGAATTTCCATCTTGTACTGCTGTATCCTTTTTCAAAAAGCTGCAGTCAGTAGGGCATAGGGTCACATTTATTCCACATGGTCACTCAGTTCCCCCTCCCTTCCTGGTCTGTTAGTCTTATTAAAGCTGCTACAAAAGCTTTGCAGCTGCTTCCAGCAATAGGCACAACAATTGGTATTCCAGCTGTTTGGTTTAGCTAGTGGGTTAACAACATTTCCTCCTTTCATGCTGCTCTCATTCCTTCCTTTTCTTAGAGTCGTGCCATCTATCATTTCACCATCCCTTTCACCCAAACTGCCTTTCACCTTTAGATTCACTAGCATTTTTTCCCTGTTAGTCAGAGTCAAATCTCAAATGGTTGTAGTCCTTGTTATTTACTCCACTTTCTGAAACATGAAGTTGTCTCCAGTACATTCCAAGAACTTATTTGAAATTTTGTGTTTTGCTGTATTGGTTTTCCAGAAAATGTCTGGATAGCTAAAGTTCTCCATTACTGTTTTGGGATATTTCTGTTATTTAGTTTAGAAATGCCTCATTCACCTCTTCTTGATTTGATGATCTATAGTAGACCCCTACCATAACATCACTCTTATGCATGCTGATTTATGGGAGTCTAGTACATTAGTAGAGTACACTGGGGCTCTGCAGTAAGGTTGCAAGTTATAACAAATCAATGCTGACAGCTATTCATGTGATTAACTAGTAGCATTGATACTTCTGTATATATTCCTTCAGTCAAAGAATTAGCTTGTAGTTAAAGATGCTAGACTGCACAACCATGCAACACACTCTCTAAAATGCAAAGAAGCAAGTGATGCCATGTAAATTCTCAAAAGCATCAGATCTCTCTCCTCAGTCTCCACCACCACCCCTTCTGCCACATACAGCCCCAATGTCTTCATCTCTGAAATACCAGGCTGAACAACCAGTTAGTCTCAAGTGTCTCCAAAGAAGTTTATTGGTTCTATGTTGATGTGTTCTGTTGGTTGATATAGGCCATTTACACTATATATGCTTTTGAGTTGAGATGTAGGAGTGTGGTTTGATACTAGAGCAGCAGGGGGCAAATACTGGCCTATGGGCTGGATCCAGTTTGCCAGGGTTAGCCTCTGGTGGGCCACCACTGCTATGTTCACCTGTGTCTCTGCAGATAAGGGTGATTGCAACTCCCCTGGGCTGCAGATCACCATCCCCAGTCAATGGGAGCTGTGGGAAGCATTGTCCTGGTCTGCACTACTTCCACCACTCCCATTGGCCATGGATGATGATCCACAGCCAGCAGGAGCTGCAATCGCCTGTAAATGAAATGCAGACATGCAGGTCAATATAGCAGTGGCGGGCCACCTAGGTATAATACTGGAGAACTGCTGCTGACTTATTGCCCACTCTCTGTACTAGAGAGTGGATGCAAGTTATTTTCTCCGTGAGCCCTCTGGAAATGGGTGATCTGTTTTGTATATTAAGTCTAACAGGAGTCACAGAATTGAAATTCACTTTGTGTGTGTACAGTGGTGTTATATTTGTGGTTTAATATAAATCTGCTCTCT